TAAAACAGTTATAAATATTTTAATATTAATAATATCTAATAATTAAATAATATCTAATAATATAATTATTTAATTTCGATAAACTAATTAATCAATTAAATAATCATAGGATTTTGACATTTTCCAAACGATTAATCCATAGAGAAGCTACAGTACAGAGAGATTACAGCGGACAAAAAGATTTTGTTATGTTATTTATTTATCTTTATTTTATGGTATTATCTTTATTTTATATCTTAAGATTTGAACTTTCATTTCAGTTAATACTCGAATTTCTATGATGTCCATTTTTTTAAACAAAAATGGCAAAAAATTCGTTTTTTTAATTTTTAACTCGATTTTTCTTAAAAAAATTGATGTACTGAAGCATTTATTGTTTTATTTTAGAATTTGTAATCCATGAAAAAAACTTACTTAACAGAATCATCTGTGATATGTCATAAAACATGAAAAAAATTACACAGTATAATTGAATACAACATAAACTTTGTAATGGATCGCTTAAAAGTTAAATTGATCTGATGGCTTTTATCACCAAAGAATGTTACGTCAGAATATTTGTAAACTTACAAAAGCCTTGATAGATACTTTTTCATGTAGTTTATATCACACTTTCCTTAGAACACAATATAAATTCATGAATTATGTTAAATGGGGGCTGTGCAAGAAAATGTATTGACTTAAAAACAAGTGAGATACTAATGTCCATTTCCACCAACTTTAGATTAACTTTAATCTCGGTCGTAAATCAACTTACTCTTCGTCTTTAGAACTAGAAAAAGACAAAGAGTAAGCTGAACTGAGATTAAAGTTAATTTACGTTGATGAAAACGGGTATAAATGTATCATCATCTATTTTTGTAGTAGAAGAGAATTGTTTAAGAGAGGAGTTGACATGGTTAACTCTAATATCAGTGTGATAGGGTGGAATTTCATTTTATAAACCTATTGACATTTATGATTCAATGTCTCGACATCAATTTGAATCTTTCTAATTAATTAATCGCGCAATATTTGAAATTTTGAAACTAAAGAATAAATGATTGGTTTTTATCTTATACTTATCTCAATAAGTTGAGTAGTTACATTAAAGTACAAAAAATAGATCATTTTGTTTTCCAAATCAAATGTAGTTTATGAAATTCACTGTAAGGAATGCAAAGCATTATATGTTGGCCAAACAAAGGCGATTAAAGACTAGCATTACAGAACATAGGATTCATATTAACAACTGGATAATGTTAAAATTTTTAACGAGAGGAAAAAAAAACAAAAGATTGATTTCCGAAATGACCCATAAATAGAGACAGGTACTAAATTTACAAAAAGACATTAAATCACTTAACCCCTTTTACACAAGTTTATTTACCAAGAATTCATGTTTTCATCTTTCGACGACATTTACTTTAATTTATCCTTATAAAATCTTTGTCCGCGATATATAATCGTAAACATAATACATAGACGTATTATGATTATATTGTATGTGGTGTTTTGCTATATCAGGTTAACGCAGTACTAATATTATGTAGTAATCTTTAATTTTCTAGATAAATCTTTTAAATATTCGCTTTAAATTTGTGCTTTAAATTCAAAACAAGTGTTCTTAGATTGTGCAATGAGGAATAGGTTTTCATTATAATGGGAATATGATCGAAAAGAGAAAATTATTATGTCGTGGATTTTTATGAAAGAATTAATAATGACGTTTCTTTCAACGATTCGATGTTACACGTGTAACGAAAAGAATTAGCGTATAATCACGCACAGCTGACGCGTTTCCGTGATGTGAAGATTACTTTGTACGGGATAATCCTTTTCGTTATTAGCTCACGAGTCCGGATAATGTTCGCTCAATAATGGTTGCTGAATAAAAAGCATATCGAATTTTATGGTTCTCGACATTTATTCCTACTTATCACAATATGCGACATTAGACGATTCGCCTCTGCGGTTTTGCACTTTTTCGCTCGGAATTTATTGCGCCACAAAATAAACTATAAAGTGTCTAGCCGCAGAGTTTGTTGCCCTGAGAACAACGGTGGAAACTATAATTTTAGTAGGACAATACATTGCCTTCACATTCCATTATGTTTTCGATGACGTGATAAATAAACTGTTGCAATTATTAATTAAAACACACATTATGAAAGCGATCTGCGCTTTGAAGTAATTTCTAGGCATCAAAACGATTATAGATTTATTCAGAGGCAACATGATATACATGTGCGCATAATAATTCCTTGATATTTGAGTACGACTAGACTGACGCAGTAGGAATATATATATAGGAATAGGAATTTTCTTAATTAGATAATCGGTCCAAATTCATATTGTTTAAACAATATTTTATTTGTTATATTGTTAAATCAAATAATACAATAATTAATCCTTAAGATAAATTTGATATTAATATATTCTATGTGAGAGATATTAAATTTTGTTCTTTTACCAGTAAAATTTGTTAATTAATCACCAAATATGTATTTATCAATTATTTAATTTTTTTTTTATTTTCTATTTTTAAAAGAAATATACCGATTTATTTATTTATAATATTATTATATTATAATATTAATAATTATAATATTAATATTATTATAATAATATTATTAAATTATATAAAATTATATAAGAGATAAAAAATTAAAGAATTTATATCATTAAAGCATCGTCTTTGCCATTTAAATGTAATAAATTGTATTAAAATCATGAAAAGTGATATCGACCTTCAACGTAGGATTTAATGTTGAACATTCCTAAAGTCTATCCACGTAAGAGGTGGAGACGTAAAGCCAAGGCTTTAAGAACTCGTAGTTTGAAATATGAATATATGATGAAAGAAATCTAAGAGTGGAATTACTCAGCAAAAGCGGAAATCCTCACAGCTTAAATGGGTTTATGTCGGTTGTACTTGCAGTGATATATAGTACCACGCACAACGCTTAATGCATCATCTTGCATGCACGTGTCCTGCAGAATAACTGTGATAATGAAATTAAATCAATTATGTTTAATATTAGCTAAAGATTATTTCCTAATATTGGTGAAACACTGGAAAACAAGTGTACAGTCACTATTAAACATTGAATAAAAATTGAATCCCCAATATTGTTAAATCAATATTAGCTAAATATATGATTAGATATCAACCTTACAATATTGGACCAATATCGAGGTTTCAATTCTTATCCAATGTTTAATATTGGCTCTACATTGTTCCACAAAATTACGACAAATACTTTGTGCTCTACTAGATTATATTAATAATTTGGCAATGACGTTGTGAATTTTTTATGGCAATAACAGCAACACCAGAATTGGAAAAGTAAGTCGTTACTTAATATAATAGATTGGAAGTCACTCATTACTGAAAAGAGTAACTCATTATTCGTAATGTTACTTCTACTCGTTAACTTTTAACGAATAAAATAACGCGTCGATGCATTACAAGTACCAAATTATATTTTTTTCAGTAAATAACGTGTAATAATGACAAGTTACTTTTTAAAGTGACTTCTTCAATCATAGTGCAATCTTAGCGTTTAGTTAGTTATCGTTACAGTCAGAAACAATTGCAACGTCATTATCGAATCGTTATTATAAAAAGTATTATAACGGTAAAAGTAACGGCGTCACTATATTTCTATTCCTTGTTATCAAGTCACAAATATGTGATCGATAAACAAAGAAAATATTCTAAATAAATCACAGAATTTAATTAAAAAGTAACATTTTTACATTTTACATTAATATTTATTTACTATTTTAATTACTTTGATTCAACTATTTAAACTGTGGACTAATTAAGTATTTATCAATATTAATTAAGCATTTATCAATATTATATTATAATAATATATATTAACATTGTGTAAGTATGTGTACATATAAAGAGAGAAGACATTTCTTTAAGGACATTTTCCCGATATGACATTTCGAAATTTGCACAGATATAACAAGCGAATCGTTTTATTTATAAGTTATCAAAGTGAGATAAGACAAAACGGTATATTTCAGCAGATTTATCTCTTTTCCTTATATTCAACCAGTTCCTTACAGCTTCCTGTTTAAAAGTCCATCTACTTTGCCCTCGGTTTAGCACAATGAAAGGAGCGAGGTGCCTCGCGAGGTAGTATCACGGAATCACAAGAGTGAAGAGTACAACAGTGAACGCGAGAGGCGGAGGGAGTGAGCAGATGGTACGACGAAAGGAGAAAAGGAGAAGAGAGTGTACGTTGGAAAGAGATAGAAAATGATGGAGCGCGTTCGTTCCAGGCAACTCGATCGCGTCGGTCGACATCGGAGCTCAGTATGCCGCGCAGCGCGCAGGCTCGCGTATACACGTATTGTCCTTTTCTCTCTCCCCGTTTTGGTTTCCGCGCGTGGCGAGTCCTCTCTTTCTTTTCTTCCCTCCCGTTTCGCGTGCGCATTGTCGGTCGTCCGGTACGCACGCTCCGCGCGCGTATTCTTCGCGTACGTACGTATAACGCGTAGCTACGCACGACGAATTTAATACTTACGTGCATGCATGCGCGCGCGTGCATTAAAGTAATACGCAAGTACAAATATTTCGCGGCGCAAGCTTTTTTTTTCTCCGTACGCATGCGTTTCGCGACCTACCTTTTCCTGCACGCTCTCTACGCCGCTCTTGCGTATCCGCGAGTGCATTAATACGTGTATACACACACACACATACACACACACACACACACACACACACACACAACACACACATATATATATATATACACATGTGTACGTGCACGTGATTCTTTCTTTTTTTTTTTATGCATGACTACTCGCGCACAGCGGCAGACAGGTACGTGGAGGACACGTCGTGGTCGGCCGTCGCGCCGTGCACCGAGTGCATCGAGTTTACTAACGGAGTGCCGCCGCTCGCGAGTGCCGCTGCTCCGCGAAACACGGGCGCAGGTAACGCTAACAAGAAGATATATATATATATATACTCGTCTTCTTTTTCGTGCGGGAAAGAAGAGTGTATCGATGCGTCAGTGCGACGTCTGCGCGCGACAACGACTCGAGTCGCGTGACCCATATACACGCGACGGATGACACGGTGACACACGGGCGAAAGTGATTGAACCGATGCGAATGGGTGCGCGCACAAGTGTCGCGAGTTTGTCGCAGGAAAGAGCGGGAAAATTGAGCGATATTGGAACCGGCTACATCCGTCGTACATCGAGTACAGTGTACAGTGCACGCGTAACAGCGTATTAGCGTAGGAAGAAAGGAACGCGTGTGAACAAACGAACGTACGTGAATGTGATCGGAGCGCGTTACGAAACTCCTGTAGGCCTGAGATGTGGCACAAAATGAAGCGAGCGTATCCGCAAGCGATCGATAACTATAGCGGCACTATAGTCGACTCGGTGAATAGCAAGCGGCCTGTGCTATCAGCCAATCCAACCTAACGGACAACGCGTGACCTCCAGGAGCGGCGTGACGAGTAGGTGGATGGGTTCACCGACGATCCCAACTCGTTCAACCACGCCGATGATGTTGAGAGAGAGTCCCGCGACGTTTTTGTAATACGTTCGAAGAAAGGGTCAGCGAGAAACAGGGAAAAGAGAAAGAGAGAGAAAGCGAAAACACACGCGCGAAAAAAAACATGCGTTGAAGACGATGCGAGTGGAAAGAAATCTTTCAGGTGATTTGGTAATGGAACGTCGTTAATGACACGACGGTGATCGACGGAATCGATCGTCGTCCAACGATCATCGATTTAGCGCGCATCGCGCGCGATCCGGTATCTTCATTCTCCTCCTCTGGAACGTTCGAAGCGGAACGTGAAGAGAATCAAAGTCGAGGAAGAGAGAAACGTAAGAAGGTAGAAGGGAAGAAGGACGAGAAAAAAGAAGAGCGAGAGAGAAAGAGAGAGGGAAAGGACGAAGGAGAGAAACGGAGATAAAACGGAGTAGCGAAAGAAAGAGAGAGAAACAGAGATAGAAAGGAATAGAGAAAGAAAGAGAAAGAAGACATCTTATTTTTAGCAACGCCGCTTTGCACACCGCAAAAACCGGTTTCACAGAGTCCACACAATCTACAAGAGTACGAAGAAAACCGATAGCTTTCGCCAAGGGTTTTTGAGGGAGGAAGAAATACGTATACAGATAACAAAACACGTATACGTCTGTCTCTGTTGCAGAGATAGAGTGAGAAAAGAAAGGAACAAAAAAATATATGCTTATCAGGCACTTTGAAGTGGAAATTCCCTTGGATGTGATTCCTAAAGTATTCAAAGGTATGTGACAACTCCAAGAATTATAGATAAAGCAGAAATTGGATAGAGCATAAAAGATTCAACAAACAAATTCATTGTGATATCTGATTCAACATTCTTTTTGTGTGTGTGTGTGTGTGTGTGTGTGTGTATAAAGAGGAAGATACGAAGAAACAATGTCACAGAACATGGAATTCGCTTAATTCAATACGCACTTTTTATGCCGCACCTTACTCCCTCGAACTCCTAGCCATCAGCCACGACCACCTCTACCACCCCTTCTTTTTTTCAGGCTACTGGCTTATCGATTGCATGCGTATATACGCGATAACGCGGTCGACACGAGAGTCAATTATTGACGACGACGACGTTCGAGATTTTGGGATTGAAGAAACTACCTGATGACATCTGAAGATTGAAGAAGTTACTTGACACCTGAAGAAGCTAACTGGTACCTGTCAAAATCGTCGAGTTTACGATCAAAGTCAAACACAAACAGGTCCGCAAAAAATGCTGAGTATGTTTCACGATTGAGGGATCGAAACTGTATCGTTATCAACGAATCAGTTCGAACAGTCTTCAAAAAGAAATAAGATTGATTGTCGACAAAATTTAAATTACTATTTCGTTTATATCCAGAATATGAATATATATCGTACTCTAGTCTGTAATTTCTAATAAAAATCAGAAGAAAACAGAATCTATATCGAAAGACAGAAGATAAAGATATTTTACTTCTCAACGACGAATAACGATGAACACAACTTTAAGCATTAAATGGGAAAATCGATTGTTAATAGTATCGAATCGTGCCGATGCTTGAAACGTTTGATTTCTGATCACATTTTAGAATACCTATATTAATAATATATCAACACATTGATGACGTTAAAAAAATTCATTTGTAATAAATTGATATCTCCAAGCTGAGAAAGGGTTTAATAGGATACGTTCGTTGATTTATGCGAATCGCATACGATATTATCGATGAAGATACCAAAGCCATTGACATCAACGTGATCAATTCACATCCTCGACAACGCAGAGAGAGAAACTCTCGTCGTAGACTCGTCGTCGACGTAAAGCTGGCAGAACGTTATCGAAGAATACGAACGGCATGAAGAATGGCAACCAATTCTTCAAGCACTCGTCAGGGCGTAAGGGCGATCGCCACGACGACTACCGATCCGCAGCGGAGCGAGAAGCGCGACTGCGACTCCCACCTGGGGATACTTCACCAATCCTGACGGTGAGTCATTGTCCGGCGCGCGTGATCGGTTTTATTAATTAAGCTCTGCTTCTCATATACGTGACTCATTTTGTGGCTCAGTATGTAGGCTACTGAGTTTTTTTCGCGAACTTGATGTGATCGATAAGCTGACCTGAACATTTTTTTGAGTTTGTGTCGGAAAAAGAGGAAACACTGTCTAATAAGTTCAACGAAGCTTTTATAGTGATTTTATATATAGTAACTTTTTACTATTTCTTTTTATAGCTGCAACATTAATAACACTAATATAAGTGAAGAAAGAAAATTAGATTAACACAAATAAGCGAAGAAGTATTTGGTTAAAACAGATATCTGATAATGTTTTTGTGTGAATCTTACAAGTTCAAGCAAATTACTTCCCGATTTATTTGTCAATCCTGAAATATAGTCTTAAATTTAAAAAATCTGGAGTACATAATGTTACAAATTAAATGGACAAGCAAAGCGATTTAATAATACTAATGCTAGTGAGCATCTTTGAAATATTGTCAAGAATTTATTGCGAAAAATATCTCAGCCAAAATTCAAACCTGGATTTTCTTATAAGTATGCATTGTGACGGGTATCTTAATTAAAATTAAATCAGCCTCGATGGTCGAATTGGTATGACATCCGTCTGAAAGTTGAAAGTTCAGGTTCATACTCTGGCTGAGGTAATATTTGTCGCAGATTCTCATTAACATCAGATTATTAATATTAATAAAATTATTCGCAGATTTAAGATTCTCATTAACATCTGATTATTAATAATATCATTAATATTAATAAAATTATTCGCAAATTTAAGATTCTCATTAACATCTGATTATTAATATTCTATAAAGATGCTTATATTAGCATAAAAAATTATTAAATCGCTTATCAATTTAATAAGCGATATTACTACTCGACTTCTGCTCATGATTGCGTTTCAAAAAAATTTCGACGCGTTGTTTGTGGAATCAGATACCTATAAAAATTCACATAGAAATTTTAAACACTTAGATCCATTTTGACTAAATGTAAGAATTCTTTTATTTAATTAGATTTATTCTTATCTGTTATTCAAATTTATAAATCATAAAAAATCATAAAACTAGATTAGTTTTGATCGACGTAGCATATAATAACATTGGCGTAAAGCATTTCAACACGTTTTTTATCATTTCTCTTTTTTGTGAACTATAATGAACTGTTATTTGTGATTAAGCTTATTAGAGAACACATCCCTAATACTTTGTCTTATATATCGAGTAATAGAGGAAATGTCATATAAAACTGGATGTCTTGTCTTGCAATAATGTTCGAGCATCTCGTAGAATGATCGATGATAGTCAGAAATCTCATTTCGACGATGTACTGATTAGCGATGCAAGTCTTAAAGCACGTAACGGGATCATCAAAGGATATTGGATATTGCGCTGTATTAGATTTATTTTCATACGTGATAAATGAACAGACGGATATGGAATGTGCAATGACTGTTAATATTCAAAGATAAAACATAACGAGATGAAATCGTGCTTCAAATGCAAATTAATTAAAGATGTTCTTTAATTAAAAGCCTTTCTATAAATTAAAATTGATTACTAATCATAATAGAAGTCGAACAAATTATATTTAAATTTTCAAGATTCTTCTTCTTGAAAAATTTTAATACATTTATTTAAAAAATTACAAAATTTACTGCATTATACAAGTATTTGCATAAGTACATTTTGGTTTTATCTTGTACAAGGATAATTAATCAACGTAATATATTTATTAAAAGTATTTTATTTTCAGTAAAATATGATCCTTTCGATAAATAAATATATAATGAGTATAATATTTGATAATCGAAGATATATTTTTCTTTTAAAGATACTACGCAAAAATAACCACAATATATGATGACTTCATTTTTACATTACGCAAGTTATACCGATTAACAAGATTAATCAGCTTTTCTAAATTTATAGCTATAACTTATACTTCTTTTTTACACATCTCAAGAAACGTTCATGTCATTCCAAGACGGATCAAGGATACACAATTATCGTTGTTGTGAGATATATTATTTTTCACGACGAACAGTGTATTTCCAGCATCGAGAGGATTTCAGCGGTTCCGCGTCGCAAGTAGAGCGTATTAAATATATTCAAGGAGCCAGAAACATTTCCTTCGTTCATTCATATCAGGCTAGTATAATCAAAACGCGTTTTACGGAGTAGTAACGGGTTTGACCCAATTCAGAGCATACAGCTCTCTACATATCGAGTCAATTAATTCTAGCAGCTCATTTTTACAGCGTTACACGTACTGCTTTTCCTCGTCTATTTACCTTTACCTCTCGCCGACCTGTTTCTCTCTTGCCTAATAGTTACAGCGGCAGCGCTGCGGAGATAGTCTCAGCCTTCGACTTCAATGCGGCGTTCTTCTCGAGAATCGCACATAATTTCTACTACGAAGTCCATCTACTCTTTGCGCAATCGCGTTAACGCGATGTTTCATTCTTGTTAACGAGAGCAATTTATCGTTTGCGCGTATACCTCTTCTATACTTATTATTACGTATTCTCCATTCCGGAATCGTCTGAATTATTTTATTGAAGCTTTAAATAAGCGAAAAATTAATTTTGAATTTTTTTAAATGTTAGTATCAAAATGTTATATTTTGTTTAATTTATATGTTCTTTATCATTACTTATTATATACAACAATGACACAATTCAAGAAACAAGGTTTTCTAAAAAATAAGTTTGATTGTTTTAAATGATTAAAACTTTAGAATATTAATTTCGAAATGTAATTTGAATATAATAACTGATTGTACAGGAATAATAATATGTACTTTTAAAATATGTTTTTTTTTCTTTCTTATATTAATTTCCATTCTTTTTTTTACAACCTTCTTTTAGAAATAATAATGATAATTTTGAATTATATTGTTGTGTAAGTAAATGAGCGATACAATGCTTCTCTATGAATTTTTTTGTACACGAATTTAAAAGAATTTTCTTTTAAATTTGCTCTGAAAATATGGTAGTACAAAATATTGTGGTACAATATAATATTTTAAAGATTTTTTTATGCACTTCAGTAAAATTAATCAAACTTATTTTATACTTTATTGTAGTTTTATTAATGAATTAACATTAAAATTCTTTGAAATACAAAGTTGTCACGACTATCATATTTTCAGGGTAAACTCTAAGAAAAAATTCTCTTCGTGTATGAACTACCAATGACGTATTGTAAGTCAACTCTTACAAATTTTCACTTATGATGATGATTCCTTTGAGTAATGAAATTTTAAAATAAGTGGCTCATATATGATTAAACAAAGCATGTTTCTCGGCTTCACTCGACACGAGAGGTGTCGTCGCGACACTCATTATCCATCATTATATATCATGATATAAAAGAACGCGATATTTCAAAGAAAACGTTGACGAAACGGACGTTGCTCAATAATGCACGGTTTTCTTGAGCTAAATACAACAGCATACGTAATTTCTCGTCGATGATATTCCACGTAGAATGCTGCGTAACAATACTGCTAAGATCGCGCGTACCAACTGGTAATCACTCCGGTATGACACTTCATTCATTGTGCGATTTACCATAATAATCACAACAGAATCCGCTGAAATTCGAGCAATGCGCGAAATTAAATAATGTATATTTCTCATATGCATGATTCTCATCGTTTTCCTCCGCCATTGTTCGGATTCTCTCTATTGCGTGTACGTATGCATATCGAGAAGTATCGTGGAAAGAAAAATAATACAATACTTCTCTCCTCAACGGCTTCCTCCAACCTGGCGCGGGAGAAAAATCCCCAGGAATAAAGTCTCTCGGTCGCGCCGAGAAATAACACGCTCCCACACTCGTGCTCCCTTGTTCGTTCGATAAACCCGTAGCCATTATACAACCATGTACGCATACGCGTGCGTGTAACTGCGTTCTATGCGTAGCAGGTGTCTGCTACCATATGACGCTGTCGCTAAATATTGGACATGGATGTGTGTCTATATATGGTATTCCTGAAATAAATTTTAGGAGCAGACTTTTTATTTATCTCAGGAACAAAAAGAAGTTGCAGAAAGAAACCATTTTGCATCATATTTTTAAGATGAAAGAAAGAAATTCATGTTAAGATTATATATATAATCATTTATGAATTAAATTCTTACAATCTCATTGATCACAAATATTTATAATTTAGAGAGAAAATGAATTTTTTTAATTTGCACAACAGAGTTGGGTATAATATTCTGTCATCCTTAAGAGAAAAAATATACAATTGAATATGTTCCTAATCGATAAAATTATCAGATTTTGACATAAATAATAAAATTTTTTTCCTTATATTTTTCTTATATTTTTTTCCTATACTGAATCATTTGCAAACATTTATTTTAAATTGACCTAATGGGAATATATTAAAAATTGCATTAAAAGTAGCACAATTTCGTCAAAATCTAATCTTTGTTTTCAACTTTCAATATTTTTCCATCAGTTTAGCTTGAAATTATTCAAGCTAAAGATTTATCACATTTAAAAAATATAAGAAATCACACACATAAAAAAGATTCCATCTTTTAGATCAAAATCTGATAATTTTACTCATCCTCCTTTGACAATCTATTTTAGGACATTTTATGTACAATGAATTATACAATTCGTATAAGGAAAATTTTTATAAATTTTAAAAAGCCTTATTTTTAGAAAATAAACGTTAATTTGCAATTTTCTTCTCACCCTGTATCAATATATGAGATACGATCATTTGCATACAAGATACGTCAGGTATGTAGTTACCGGTGACAAGAGCCCTGCGTTTTACAAATGACAGAAATACTGTTACACATACACACACACATGCGCACTCATACATTTGTTGTTCTCGTCGTGTGTAACGTGACGATGCACGTTGAGAAGCTGTTAATTACGGACAGAGAAACGGGGCTGTCGAGAAAGTTCTGCGATGAAGTTGATAAGCCGTAAACAACGCGA